TAGTTTATTTAATATTTTTAACTATTTGCTTCTTCACTTATTTCTTTTAAATATTGTTTATGTGTAACATGACTTTATTATAAAATTACAAAATTGTATTAAGTTAGCTTGTCCCTGTTTGAATTCTGCTTAGCTGACTCTCTTTATTTAATCAAAATTTAGTCAAATTTAATCAAAATTTTTTATTTATTTAAACAAATTATATAATAATGTGCTATGCGCTCTTTAAATTAATAAAAAATGTACTTTATTATTTTTATTATTTTTATTATTTTATATATTTATTTTGTATATATATATATATATAAAACATGGCATGTATATTTAATTTATTTATATCTCTATAAATTAATTAGGCAGGAATGTCTTCGTTTGACAGGATATCTATTTAAAAATAAGATTGCTTAAGATTTATGGTGCAAAAATTGAAATTATATGTGAAAATAGTACATAAAGTGTGTAAATACATATCATGCATTTAATTTATCAAATTAATAAATCAAATTTATTGGATTAAGTAGCCATGTTTCTGATCGCCTAAAGAAAAAAAACTGTTTAAGATTTGCACCGTAAAAATCAATATTATATTAAAACAATAGTGTATAAATTATAGATTTTTTGGTAATCTAATTTTGAATTTTTGAAAACGCGTTAGAAGAAAATATACCGCTTATGAGGAAAATTTACTAAATATTGCAAAAATCAGAATTATTTCAAAATAATAGCGCATTATTCGTAAATGTATTGTGTGTATTTGATTTATTGAATCTTACATCAATTGGATTTAGATCGGCTTAAGAGGAAAATTTTTTATAATATTTGATCTTAGCATTTATCACAAATCATATATGATTGTGCTATTATTTTCAAGTAATTTTAATAGATTATATATATATTTTATATAATTAAGTGATCTAATTTTAAATATATTAAAAGAAAATATTACTATCTTTAATAAGGAAGATTTTTAAAGGATGCGACTCAAAAATCAAATTACTCTAATGTGCTAATAAATATTGCATAAATTCTGTACATTTAAATTATTATTAAATTATTTAAATTATTATTAATACATGAAGGGGGAACTCACGAATAGTCTAGTTAACTTATTGATTACCGGCGTAAAAAAAGACTTGTGTTAACTTCATTCATAAATTTTTTTATAGACTTATACAGCACATATATAGCATTATTATTTGTTTAGTAATTTATTCGTTATATGCTGATTAAGAGAATTACCCATATTGGTTTTATTATTTTTATTAGGATTTTTTTACTTCAGTGTGAATTTACAAATTTCAAAATTTAAAATATCAATATTACTATAAAAGTTACAATTACATTTAGCTAAAAAATAAGAATTTTCAAAATAACATTACTAATGATACGTAAAATTTTGAGGATATTGGATATTTTTGCTTATAGTGCAAAAGTTGAATACAAATAATGAATTTTATTTTTTATTACAACAAATCTATATAAATATAAGATTTGCATTATTATGAGATTTATATTTGGGAAGGTTTTCTTGATAATAATTTTTTTAAAACGCTTTTATTGTTATTCCATAAATTTTTATCCAATAATAATTATATTATAATAATTATAAAAATATTTTTTACAGAAATGAAAGAAACACACAGTAGAAGAATATAACTGATATACATTATTATGCTTAATAATAATTGTACGATTATTATGAAAAAGTATGCGTTACAAACTGAATAGGCGTATAAATAAAATTTAATTCTCCAATCTTTGTCATGTCTTTTTTTTGCTGTATTATACTGGTTGGTGTATACTAAATGGTGATATACATGAAAATGTAAAAATACATAAATACTTCAAAGTGTTTATATAAATAGTCAATGAATTTGTTGTATTATTTAGCTGAATATGAATTAATAATTTCATTATCAAAGAAATAATATTATGCTATTACATTTAAATATTTTATGTATAGCAGTCTTTAGTGTGCATTGGCACGGTGTAGTGCAGTGAACCAATAACGCTTTTTGGAAATATATAAGAAATAAAATGATAGCATTTGTAAAAATATTCTTTATGCAATAATATCCTTAATTTTTAAACTTGCAATAAACATTTTCTTGATGGAAATTTATAGAAAAAAATGTTCTGCTTCATTACGGTTGTATCGTTTTCATCTGAAATTTAAAAAAATTTTATATTAAATAAAAATTGTAGTAAATATTTTAGATAAATTTTCAGTTTTTAAAAATCTTATTATCTTATATTAAAAGCATACTTAACCATTTTGATTTTAAATTGTATTTGATTCAGAGTATGATTAAAATGTTATTAAAGGATTAAGACAGAAATGTTGAAATGTATTTAACTTTTTCCTATTAAATTGTCAAAAAGTAATAAAAAAAATAAATCAATTAAATCATCAATGATCTTACATCTACCAATGTAATCTCCCTTGGTTCTACATTTAGCCAAAAACCACCTTCAGGCTTCATAATGATGCCACTTCTAGCGAGTTTGAGCGGTATCGGTGTCTTTTCGCAGACTTTCAAATTGCAACGGGCTAATAGATGAAAGAATAGAACCTTGATCTCTAACAACGCAAATCTATTACCTATGCACATTCTGGGACCAAGCCCGAAAGGAATATAAGCTCCGCAATTGAGACTGTCTTTCCTTCTCTCACCAAGAAACCGCTCGGGATCAAATTTTTCTGGCTTTTCGAAATATTTAGGATCATGATGAAGTGCATAAATCGGTATCCATATGTTTTGTCCTTTCTTGATAGTAAAAGAATTCATCCCTGATAATGCTGGTGGTAATTCGAAATCTTTTACACATAATCTATCCGTTGTCGCAGCAGGAGGATACATTCGGAGAGCTTCGTGAATTACAGCATCCAAATATTCCATGGCATTAATTGCTTCGTAAGATGCTTCTCCATTGTTTTCTTTCAAGATTCGGTCAATCTCATTCTGAAGTTTTTTTTGTATATCTTGATTCACTGCGATTTCGTGAGCAGTAAAGGACATTACCGTTGAAGCAGTGTCGAAACCGCCAAAGAAAAAGATAAATGCATGAGATACCATATCTTCGATAGTCAATTTTGCCTTATCTTCCTTATTCCTGTTTTCCATCAACAATTGTAATATATCAGGCCGAACAATACCATTTTCATCTCTGGTTTTTATAGTGATTTCCACAAGATCTCGAAAATAGTCTACTATTTTCTGACGGATTAATTTCAAATTTATTAATCGCGCTAGCAAAGGAAAATTTCTAAATATGTACAATTTTATTAAGGCAATACCGTCGAAAGAAGTCGCTTCCTTACCATATACGTAAAATTCGTTCTTTGGATTTCTCATGGAATCAACGGTAATGCCAAAAGCACAAGTAGCAATCATATCATTAGTATATCTAGCAAAGATGTCTTTCATTTGCATCATCCTCTGCTCTGGTGGTAATTGCGTCAAGAAGCTGCCAAAATCGGCAGCGCACTTTGACATTAACTTAAACATACTTTTCATTTTGTGAGACGTGAAGACTGGAGTTAATAAAGATCGCACCTGCCGCCATTTCTCTCCGCGAATTGAAAAAAGATTTTTGCCAAATATTGAATCTTGAGATTCGTTCACGAAACTGCGATGATCCGGAAATATATCGAAATGTTTTAATGCAATGGATTTAATAAGCTCGGGGTCGCGCACTATTATACATGGTTTAGTCATATCAAATATTCCAATGTATTTCGCTTCAGAATGTAGATTGTAAATGTCCTTGATAAGTTCGGCTATCGATTGGAGACGAAATACTGATGGTCCCATATTTCCCACTATAGGAATAGGTGGCTTATGCAATATATTATGTTTTTTGAAATAATTCCAATCTTTGAAGAAATAATAATAAAATCCTAGAACACCCGCTATTACCGATAAAGCGATTACATACATCATGGTAATATATCTATTACTGTTATTTCACTGAATCAGAATACAAGTTTGTGGAAAATAAATTCAACTCTTTGATAATTTATTTGAATATTTTTATCTTGTTATTAGTAATAATATCAAAGTACGACATTACGTGTCGCAAGCTGACGGTCGATTACTGCTGTTTTACGCTATTTCTCTAATATCTTGATTCGTCATAATTAATCTAAGTGTTGTTGATAAACGTTTTTTTAAATTCAATCGTAAATATCCTCGTTATTATCAATATGATAACGAGTTTTTTAAAATCAAGATAGAGAACAGAATTTGCCAGTCACGATATTTATCATTTTCAATTATATTTGTCACGTTATCTATTTTTTTACTTACTGTTAATATGATTTATATCAATTAATAACAATTTGTTAGGAAAACAACAAAATTGCATTAAATTATTTATTCTTGGCAGTCTTGATTATTGCTAATTGAATGAAAAATTCTGTTATTTTCTAAACTGTACTCATATTGTTAAAATAATTGAAACTACCACATGATATTTCGCAGACATTCGTGCCCTTAGCTTTTATCATTACTGTTTATATATGTTTATATGTTTATATAAGATGTATGTGTTACAATAACCGCAATTTATTTATAGTTTAATATATTCTTTTCTCTATAATTATGAGACCTTTATATTTTAAGAATCTTATTAATTCATTACAGCCATTTTAAATTGTAATGTCAGAAACGAAAAAACATATAATAAAAATTCTTGCAAAATACATTAAAATAGAAATATTTTTCTATAAAGAAAAATTAATTGACAGAGCAGACTTTTCAAATATACCGAATGCTCTTTTTTTGCTTTGGTAATCAATAAATAATCATAATATATCTAAAAATAAATGAACAATGTCATTCAATTAAAAGAGGAATCATATTATATATTTAAATTCAAAAATAAAAGAGATTGTTAACGTCTAAAAGTCCTGTTGTTCCACCGAGTGCCAGTCTACTTAAAATATATTCTCGATATATGTATATATTTCTCGGGTTTTATGTGTGTGTGTGTGTGTGTGTGTGTGTGTGGTGTGGTGTGGTGTGGTGTGGTGTGATGTGTGCGTCATAGCTTAATTTAGTCAACATGAAATAAGCCCGCCATGTCGGCAAGTAAGCGTATTTTTTTTTTTTTCTAAATACATTTGCATGAAAATCTCCGTGAAAAAGTAAATGGTTTAGAGTAATATTACACTTTTGCGCGTACTGAATATTTCGATATCGCGTGAAATATTAAAAGTCGCACGTGGGAATCCAGTTGGAGGAGGCGCAAAGAGGCGAGATAACCTACCTATGCTAAAACATCTGCGTTCGAGAAATAAGGTTTTAAGGTTTATCGGCTGAAAATCGGCGGGAGACGATTGAGACGTCACTTCGGAAACTACAACTGGCAATTTCCGTGGCCCTCTGCCGCACGGGAGCACGCGCGCGTCCTGGGGATGTCGCAGGACGACGAGGATCGAAGTACGGAAATAGAGGCGAGAAGGGAGAGTTTTGCCGCGGGTAATAAGGACGGAGAAGGATATAGTTGCCGGAGTGAGGGAACGAAGAGGGAGAAACCCTCCCCCCCCCCCCCCCAAGTCAGTTGTAGCTTGAGACCTTTGCATCCACGTATAGCCCACTCAGAGGGTTATGCGCAGGAGCCTCGTAATAATATAGATGACTTCGATGCGATTAGGAACGCAAGCTTCGAGGAAATGGTCCTTCAGAGATGCTTACCAGGCGTTCCGCCCTTCTCTTTCTGCCTCCTTCCTCTTCCACCCCTCTTCCCCCCCCCTCCCCGCCCTCCTCTCCTCTCTCCTCATTGCTTGCAATATTCGAGCTTGCCTAGCAGCAAGCGAGCCTCCCTTCGATCCTCCATCGATTCTCGTCCCCCTCCCTCCCCCCCCTCGCTCGTTTGATAGGCGTAGATCGGAACGGCCGCCGTCTCTCGCGCCATCAGAGCTGATCCCCCGAGGCCTTTCCTCGAATATCCGCTGCTTAGCGCACGTTCGGCATACATTTTTAATCGGTTCGACACGCTGCCCGTTCCAGCGGACGAGCCGCTTTAACAGTGATTTCGACTCGACTGACTTTCTGACGCGCTTCCGTTTCCCGAACGCGATTGTCCCGTTTTATTTTCAATCAAAGTAGTTTTATTTTCAATCAAAGTAGTTTTCGTCCGGGCCAGATACGATGGCTGTATAACTGTATAATTCACGTGTAGTCGGTAAAAATTTTAATTCTCTCAAATTTTCTCGCCGTTCTTTAAGGCGACGTGTGTCGAATATGGCGCGTTCTTTAATATATTATTATATTATTATATATTATTATAGTACTGTATGGTGATTATAGTATTGTACGGTGAAAGTTTTGACAATTGATACGCGGCCGCGTATCTCTTTACGGCCGCCGTAGGAGGGAAACGTAATTAAGCGCCGCGCTTAACTTTCGGAAATTTCTTTGCACGTAAAATTGAAATTTGTCGAGACGGAGACTAAAAAAAAAAACCGGTTAACTGTCCGGCAGGCTCTTTAAGCGAAATTAGTCTATGGTTACGAAGTCGAGAGGCGATGATAATGGCACTTGTTGGTGAGCGAAGCTTGCCCGTCCGGGCTTCGTCCTCTAAAATAAAGTTACGGCCATTAACAAAACTAGGTTTCTCACTTTAACTTGTCCTAAAAATCCGCCGCGTTGCGTCAAAATTGAAGTCGGTAAATTGGCGGCAGTTGCTATCCCGCGTATTTTTCACACTTTAGAGAGCAAAGTGCTTTCGCAATTTTTTTCTTTCTTGTTTTTCAGATTTGTTTTATAACACATTTTTAAATAATAAAATAAATATTTGTATGCCGCACCGGCACAAATACGGCACGGTAACATTTTAATTTTATACAATCAAAATAAATTTTAATAAAATTACAATATATGCATCCAATTAACGAGAATCTAACAATGTTTAACTTCTAGTATATTATTAAAAGTAATGTTTACATGTATATATAGATATATATATTTATTGTATTATATATTAAATTATTATGTATAAAATTTAATTAAAATATATTATCAATTTTATTTTAATAAATTTCTGTTAGAACCGTATGTATAAAGACCATATGTATTCTCTTGTTATATTCGCGCATTTAAATTAGATAGATTTAAATTAGACAGAGAGTTAAATTAAATTAAATATTATGATTTATTAAATTGCCTGGAATTATTTTATATAGAGTTCTTGTTTGGCCTTTTTAATTTTTAACACCGTGAAACAACGGGGAACAACGTCATCCGTGCGATATCGCATTCCCCGGCTGCGGTGGCATTTTCTCTCATATGTTTAGGACAAAAAACGTACGATATTTTAAGTTACCTGAGATTTTTTCAGAAGACATACAATTTATCGCCGGTCCCCCGAGTTTCCTGCCGCGGCCGTGGATAACTCCCCCCCCCCCCGCACCTCGGTCCTCCACGGCGAGGCGGGCGGATAACCCGACTCTGTCCGCGCCACGTTCGCTCTATGGCGGCACTCTCTTTCATACATAGCTGACATTTACCACCTCCCATATCCACCCTCTCTCATATTACGCGTTGAAATAGCCCTCGTCTCCCGAGCGAAGGCGCAGCAGGACGTAATAGCATTCTCGGAGAATTACTTATACCCTCCTGTGACCACCACTCATCGCGGCCAAGTTTCTCTCTTTCCACCGGCTCTTTTCCTGATAAAGTCCCGCCTTGTTAAAAGCAACGTCACTCTCTCGCCCCCGTCGGCGGTGAAAATAATCAGAAATAAACGCGCCGCGCATTTAGTACGGTAATCTCTCCTCCTCTTCTTCCTATTCCCGAGGGGGGTGTTTCCTCGACGATTATCTCACAGGAAATGATACTTAACAATCCCTCCACGTGATTTCTCCGTTTTTTTTTTCTCTCTCTTTTTTATATCCGGACATATTTAAATTTAAATTACACGAGACAAAGAGGGGAGGGGAAGAAATTTTACTTCTGAAAATGTTCTTGTTACATCTTCCGCCGTTACTTCACTTGTCGTTCGCGCACCGTAATGGTGCGCGAGGAATTTTAAAGTAAATGTACCGCAAAGTGATAAGTGCGCGGGCACATCGCGGCACGTGAATCGTAATCCTTTTAATAAGGAGGCAATAACGTCGTTACGGCTTTCACGCGAGCGGAGTAAGCCCGGCTACATACATCACGATCCGCCATCAAGTATACGTCCCGTCCGTATACGGGCATTACGTAATTGCAACGGGACGTTTATATAACGAGGAATATTACTGGGTTACGTAACGGATGGTATTATATATATATATATATATATATATATATCT